ATAAATATATAGTAAATTATTATTTTATTAGTTTATATATTAATTAAATTTAGAAACTATATATAATTAATGACAGTGTAGATATAGGTAGTAAAACTGCTTGAAAACTCTAACTATATGAGTATGATAGACAACTATTTTATTAAGTTTTACTAGCTTATATTCTTTATATTAGTTTTTATCTTCTGGTCCACTATAAGATTATTGATTCTAAATTCTTTTAATATATTTAATTATAATTTTATCAGAAAATTTTTAAATAGGGTGAATATCGATTACCAGCTATAGAGGTGATTGCTCTTGATCAGAAAAATTGATAATAATCGATATTTGTTTCTAATTGATGTATTATCAATTAAAAAATAATCGATTTTAATTTGTTTTAATACTAATCAATTTTCAATCAAGTGATACTAATCAATATTAATCGATTTTAATCAGCATCAATTGATTCTAATTTGTATCAATAGCAATTGGCAAGGTGCTGCTTATCAATTTGCATTTCTATCTATCAAATAATTGCCAACCAATTTAAAATTTCCTGAACTTAATAATTTACTAGCTTATATGTTAATTTTTTTATTATTTTTTATTTTTTTAAATTATTTTAAACACTATAAAGTAGATAGATTTCTTAATTAATATATATATATAGTAAATTGTTATTTTATTAATTTATATTTTAATTAAATTTAGAAGCTATATATAATTAATAACAGTATAGATATAGGTAGTAAAACCACTTAGAAGCTCTAGCTATATGAATGTAATAGATAACTATCTTACTAAATTTTACTAGCTTATATCTTTATATTAGTCTTTATCTTCTGGCTACTATGAGATTATTAATTTTAAATTCTTTTAATATATATAATTATAAATTAATAATTTATTAGCTTATATATTATTTTTTTATTTGAATTTATATTATTGGTGATTCGCCAGTTAGCCAGTAAGAGGTTATAGTATAATGTGATGCGGTTTACTTATAGAAATTAGAGTTTTGCGAATGTGGGCTGCATCATTCTAAAACTTTTTACGTACTAAGTTAACCACTTTTGGGCTTCTAATTAAAGTTGTAGAGCTCATTGGGAGGAATCTAATGGTGGTTAAATCATCAAAATCGGCCTTGTGGATCACGAGATATCTTCGAAAACGTTTCGCCAACTATGTAAAATTCTCTTTGTTGAAAGAGAGAATTTTACATAATCGGTAAAATATTTTTCGAAGATATCTTGTGATCCACAAGGCCGATTTTGACGATTCAACCACTATTAGATTCCTCTCAATGAGCTCTACAACTTTAATTAGAAGCCCAAAGATAGTTAACTTAGTACAAAAAAAGTTTTAGAATGATGCAGCTCACATTCGCAAAACCTAATTTCTATAAGTAAACCACGTCATGTTACACTATGACCTCTCACTGGCTAACTGGTGAATCACCAATTAATTTATAAAAAATTTATAAATCTTAAATTATTTTTTAGGGTTTTATAATTTAGCATATATGCATTGTAACGCATCTACCTGATCGCCCAATCAGATCATAAGATCAGGTATAACGTGAAATTAAAAAAAATAGCGATATTTTGAAAAAATTATCTGTAACTCATAATTTTGCTTATGAAACCACCTTTTGCATTCTAACAAAAAAAATTTCTTGCAAAATTTTGGATATAATTAACATTTATCTACAATCTAATCTAACTTTATATAAGTGCTAACCCTTACTCTAAATTAATGCATTGCTAGTTTGTTTTGATTTCATGTTATACTGAATCTTATGGGGTGCTTCACAATACACATGCGCTAAATTATAAAATTCTTATTTTTACTAATTTATTAATTTTAATTATATATTTAATTTAATTATTTAAAAATTTTAAAATGCTACCAAAATATAAAACTCCTACTTCTCTGCATATTACTAATGATAAAAGTATAAAGAAACTTTATTACTAAATAGAAAAAGAAAAGCTATTACCAAATAGTATAAAAAAAAATCATAATTCAATAATTGAAGCATCTATATTTATATTTACAATATCAATTTTATCAACAATATTAGCACCAATATTTGCAACACCATCTGCAATACTATCTGTAATACTATTTGCAACAACATCTTTAAAAACATTTACAATAGCAATAGCAATATCTGTATCTGCAACTATAGCAACAATAGTAGTACCAACAGTAGCAACAATAGCAACAATAGCAGCAACAATAGCAATAAGTATTATTTATTTTCTGGAAGCTTAAAAATTACAACAGAGATTCCCGATAATCATAGGATACAGATGGCCCAAAGGGCCGTCTGCATTATATGATCATTAGAAATTCTCTGTTGTAATTTTAAACTTCTTACAGAAAATAAATAAATAATACCCTGCCTTATGTTGTTTATGTCTACCTTTATTATAATTTTCACGTGATTATTTGTGACCAGGAATCTTCTTATGAAAGATTCTCGATCATGATGTGATTACACAGGAAATTATAATGAAGGTAGGCATGAACAACAAATAGTAAGGCAGGGTATTATAGCAATAATAATAGCAACAACAATAGCAATACTAGTAGCAAAAATATCAAATATAATATTAGCAACAACAGTATCAATAACTTCAATAAGCTTAGAACTTAGAATTAGTATCAGTATCAGATAAATTATAGTTATTTATTTTAACAATATTAGCAGAAGTATTTATAGAATCAACAATATTAAATACATTATTACCAAATTTATAATACAAAGAAGACAATTACTTATGACAACAAAATTATAGAGCAACAAAAGCAATTCAACAAGCAAATATATATAGAAATATTACACAATATAGTTTAGATGATTTTAATTTTGAATTAAAATATAGTTTTGATCTCTCTATTTGGCAATATAAGCTTAGTAATTTGAATATCAGATTTAATTATTGTTAAGCTTTAAAGTAGAAAAATAAATTACCAAAATTTTGCTACCTTAATAGTAAAATTAAATTAGTTGTATTTGAACACCTCAACTAGCTATATCACAGTTATTAACTAGGTTTTATATTACTACTGGTAAGAGATATTGGGGCTTTGCAATAGAAAGAGCAAAAATGACCCTAAAGATAAAAAATAAGTTTTCATTGCATTCAGTTAAATTTTGACATAGTTGATATTTTTTAATTATAAATGAAAGTTGATTTATATAATAAAAAATCGAGATAATATAAAAAAAATTATATAGGGTTGTCTAAAGCAAAACATATCACAAAATTACCCAATAGTCATCTGTTGCATTAAACCAATCAAAAATTGTAAAATTTGATTAACTTGGATCAGTCTGAAAATTAAAACAAGTAATTAAACTCAATTATCTTAAAATAATATATTTTGATATATCTGCTTTTTCTACTACAAAAGTCTCATATGTTCAAAATATAAGGTTTTATAATTTTGCTTTTGCTTTTATCTCTTTAGGCATAACTACAGATTGTAGTATTTTTGAAGTAAGTAAATCTTATATTTTAGAATTCAAGAAGCTTTATATCATAATATAAGTTCTTTAATATCACTATATGGGCAGTCTAAATTTGCACAAATTTATTTCTATAATAGTAATTTTGATACCCAGTTTGCTTTAAAGAATGAAATATCTTCAAATTTAAATTTGGATATGATAAGATCTTTGCAAGCTAAACTTGATCATATTAATTCTTTTGTTCAAGTATTTCAAAATGCTAGACAGCAGGCCACAAGAAATCTTGCTTTAAAATTAAAATTTTCTAATATTTCTTCTTAAGATATAAGAAATTATAATTTACTAGTTGCTTCTAAAATTGTTGCTATAATTACTGATGATAATACAATTCACTCTAATAGAGATATTATTCTTACTACACAACAGGGTTCTTTGTGACATATATCAGAATTACATAGTGCTTATAATTCTTTACAGTATTTACTTCTTTTTTCAAGAGAAGAGTATGGATAGCATATAGGAATTATGCATTTAACTATAACTAATCAAAGTTCTAATATAATGATAATTTAAATTTTAATTATAATCAATTAAATACTTTACTATTAGATTCTACTAATTTTAACAACAACAAAAATATATGATAATTAGAGAATTTACATATTATAGATTACAAATAAGAGATCCTAATAGTATTTTACATTTTGCTGATTACTTATTTCAGCAATATATCATTAATCAGTATGCAAAATAGAAATAAAATAATTTGAAATAGTTTAAAAATAATCAACCTCAATTATGGGTTGAATATTATAAAGAATTAGAAGATATTATTAATAATGATAAAGCTAATCCTCTTGAAATTAAGAAAAAATTATTTTGCCCTTCTTATTTACTAGTTTAAAGAGATATATATAGCAGTTATATCAGGATGCTATAGCTACTTATTATGTAGTAACTTGGGCTACCATGTGCTTGTTGACTTTACTAACAGTCTTTACTCACTTGGCTAATGTATATGATAACTGGCATATCATGCCAGTACTACCACCAACAATGTATTCACACAGATAACAGTTTATTCACTAAGAATAGCTCAAAAAGATAACGAGAACGAAAGTTAGGCACTTCCCCTATTTGGATCGATGTTTTATATATTATTACTAATATATATTTTATTACTACATTGTTCATGCAATACTAATCGCTACTGATTACTACATTGTTTATGCAATCACTACTTTAGACTTTTAATTAAATCGTGATCACCCGATTCATATATCATGCATTAATTAGATCACCGACATTCGATCAACACGTATCTGATCACTAATCACATGAGTACTGCGTAGCCCCGTGATACTTATCAAATAATTAACCCTAACCCTATGTGATGTCAGCTAAAAGAGCATTCGGTGAAGTGACTGTCGGTGAATTGATCAGAACCGGAAAGAAAGTATGATGTCAGTCGGACGAATAGTAACATTTGGTACATCGTGATGAAAATCGGATAGCTCAAAACGTTCTTGCCATCTTAAAAGTAAATCATCGATTTGATGATGCCATCTCCAATTCCAGCACATGCACCAACAAGTATACTTGGAGGATCTAAAATTGAATTAATTGCGAATTAAATAAAATTGAATGAATTATGACTTAAATAATTATGAAGAATAATTATTTAAAAAATCTTAAGATTAGATAAATACTTACAACCGATTGTATAAGGATGCATCATATAAGCAAACAATTTATGACTATAATCATGCAAATTTGTTTCTATATCGAGAGCCAGCTTAGCAGAACCTGAATCATCCAATTGTAATGGGGTTTGAAATTCTTCATTTGTTCCACCATCAATCTATTCAATTACTCGACCTAGTAAATGTTGCATCTCCACAACTGTCAAGATTTTCACTTTATTATTCTGTACTTTAACTATTAATTTTGAAATTTTGAGATTTAATAAATCCGAATTGTCTTAATGAAATGGTTAAAAAAATGTGTAGAAAATAAATATATAGTCAACCCCCATACAATCACCGCATCCACTTATTTGTGCAGATAATACAAACCTCTAAAATGAAATGGCCAGTCAGAGAACACAAATTTCAGGTATTCTGGATTAGCCCGACATAGAATCCGAACACGTGCAAAGAAGAAAAAAAGAAAAAAAGCGATAATACTCAAAACCTAGTATTTAGATTGACCTTGGTTGACTAATAAAAAATAATGGGAGTGAAATTTTACATATAAAAAACCCCAACTTATCGCTAAAGCTCACAACTCTAACGTCCTAATTCTAAACTTCTATCTTTACGCACTTGGTTTGTTTACAAAATTTGATTTCTTTTTTGGTTTGTATTACCCACGCAAATAAGTAAATCGTACAATCACCTCCCCTATAATCACATCATATACTGTAAATATATAAAAAAATATCCTCATAAAAGCACAACCTCTTTATAAGCATACTATTAAAAAAAGGTCTTAAGTAAAAAAATGTGTGATTATATGGGATGTTCACTGTATATATATAATCCGATATTACCAATATCACGAAATGATTGATTAGCAGGACAGGCCGAAAAATAAACTTTTTCATCATACCAATCTTGTACCAAGAATGGATGGGGATAAAATAGTTCGGGTACTGGTGTAAAAATAGTCAGGTAAAGCTGTTACTTTTTTAATGCCGAGACAAAGGCGTTCCGCATAATATCTAATGAAAAAAAATTAAAATTGATAAAAAAAATTGAATATCTTTATGTATATTTATCTATATTACCTTGCTAACAATTGTCTATGCGTGTGAATAAAATTTTTACCTTCTCGATTCCTTGGTATACTATATGCCAATGCTCATGAAATTCATTTAATACCAGATCATTTCTCCACCAAAACATTTATCTAATACAGGATCATAAACATCTTTATCAGGCCATCCATTCGAATTAAATTTCACTGGTGGTGGATTTGAAAAAGCATATCTTAATTTAACCAAACTGAATGCTATTTCTAATATTACATCTTCTGCCTTTTCAGTCTCTTTTGTCGTTGATGAACTAGTCGTTATATTAGTGAATAAAGTGGTATTAACGGTTGGACTTGTAGTTGATGTTGATTTGGTATTAACGGTTGGACCTGTAGTTGACGTTGATTTGCTACTAACCGTTGGACTTGTAGTTGACGTGGATTTGGTATTAATGGTTGGACCTGTAGTTGATGTTGATTTGGTATTAACGGTTGGACTTGTAGTTGACGTTGATTTGATATTAACGATTGGACTTGTAGTTGACTTTGATTTGGTATTAACGGTTGGGCTTGTAGTTGATGTTGATTTGGTATTAACAGTTAGACTTGTAGTTGATGTGGATTTAGTATTAATCGTTGGACTTGTAACTGACATTGATTTGGTATTAATTATTGGACTTGTAGTTGACGTTGATTTGGAATTAACCGTTGGACTTGTAGTTGACGTGAACTTAGTATTAATGGTTGGACTTGTAGTTGATGTTGATATGATATTATTGGTTGGACCTGTAGTTGACATTTCCTCATGCTTAAAGGTACATTTTGAATGTGGGTCACGTTTACGGGTTTTTGGTGTATAGACTAACCATGATAAGATAATTCATTTTCTAATTGATTAGTAGATTTTTTGATATATCGCTTGTGGTCAGCTTCATATGTAAAAGTTCTCTTTGAATTATTTTCTAATATTTTTTCACAGTACTTTTAAAATATTAGAACTGAAAGATAATGTAATGTATCGTATTACTTATACTTTCTTTATAACAAGCATCATAAGTTGAAGACCTAAAAAACCTGCTATACAACACCGGTGACGAAAACATTTTCTATTCAAAGAATTTTTTATAAGGAGAGATACACCCTTTTCTTTGCAATAGAAGATAAGAATGAGAATATTAAAAAAATATATAACTAAAAATTAAGAATTAAGAATCATAGATAAAAACATTGGAGAATTTTTTTCTTAGGTGAAGATATGGGAATTCTCTTTTATCGTCTTTAGTGGCTTTGTTTTTGAAAACACGCTCATGAAAAATAGAAAACCAAGGTATATATAAGTATATTAAAATAAAACCTGAAATCTTATTTCTATGTTTTTCATTTGGCAACATTCATTGTTACATTTTGTCAACAACATTTTCTAGGCATCATTAATTTATAGTGGCTGATCGTTCTCTTGACAGTGAAAAAAAGGTAACAATTATTTATAAATTCATTTGATGTCATTTTACACAAGTTACCGAAAATTTGCAACCTTTTTTCTACAATTCAAAATTTATCGATCGAAAAAATTCATTTAAAAACATCTACATAAAGTCTACAAAATACAAGAATTCACAAAAAAGAACAATTATTTATTTAATAAAATTTAAATGTTTACGACTGCGCCTCTGACACGAAAAAATCAACCTGAATTTTCAAAGTCCCCGAAATATCTATAGATACAGTAGGTCGGATACCAGTTTGCCATTTCCATTTATAGTAATTAGTTCGCTTATTTTTGAATTTTCTACAGATCTTTCTATTTTTAGTAATTTTTGAAAAACCTTAGCTATTTGTAGATATTTCGGGGTCCTGTATAACGTAATTGGCCATTTTAAAATCACGTTATTTTTTGAATCTTTTTATATACTGACAGAGTTTCAAGGTAGGCATATGGCGCAAGTTATTTGTTTTTGAGGCTTTGGAATAAAATACACAAGTTTTCTTATTGCTATTTGTTTTGATAAATGTATCAAGCCATTCTAAGGGCTAGGACACTATCCCGAAAGTGATTGTTCAAAAAAAATTTTTTTTGTGGCTTTGAATTATGCCTACGATTTACTACCACTACACCGCTACAGTAACATTTTTAACGAATCTAAATTGAAATATATAGTTAGATTTAAAGAAGGCCTCAAACTATAAAGTGTTATCAAAGTGAAAGCTTATTTAAAGAATAAGATATTATTTTTGTATTAATATAGGGAGTAATCTGATACGCATGTTAAATAAGCATGGGTCAGAATAGGAATAACACAAGTATAATAATATAAAAAATCAATAAAAAATAGTGGAAGGTTTTGGTAGAAGTTGTCAGAGTGACTAGAGTCATACTACACGTAATCGGAGAGAATTATTAGAGTGAAACATTTTATTAGAAGGTTTAAATGTTGAACCCTAATAAAGTTGTTATCCTTTATTTGATGTAGTTATTAGACCACGCAAAGTTGGTTTTCGTTTTGCATAACCCGACACCATTTTTTCAAATTTTCCAATTGTGCTATTTTTTTCTATTTTATTCATAGACACCCTATAAAAAAAATCTCTTGGAATTGTTCGGAAAATTCTGAAATTATTCGATTTTTTGTTTGGAAAATCGACTCCGTTTCGAACATTTAAAGGATGTTTATTGGATGAATGCGTTTTTTATACGTTTTTTATACGATAATTTTCAATCAAAAATTTTCTATTTTTTACATCCCGTACAAACGTCGTTATGAAAACAGTACAAATATAAACCCTGTTCGGAAAATCGATTCCGTTCCGAACATTTTTTTGGACAATGCCTACAATAACTGTACAAACTTTTTTTATAGGGACATTCATATAATTCTGTAATTGGCTATGATTTCTCGTGATAAATTTACCAATCAAAATATATAATTTTTAAAAAAGATGTATCGTTTTAATACTGCTACGTAAAAAAACGAAAAAACTTCACATAAAGAAGCTTATACACGCAAATGAATTTAAATGAATTTAAATGAATTTAAATGAATTTAAATGAATTTAAATGAATTCATATTTTTAGTTGTTATGACCTTTATTAGAGATGTGATATAACCTTTATCCTATATAATTTCTATATAATTAATAGAACAATAGCATTTATATATATTATTGACCTATTACTTAACCTAAAATTACGCTTACTGATCTAACAGTTTAATATTCAGAATACGTAAAATATAGCATTAATTAGTACAGGACTATTATTATTATAATAGCATGTAAACAGTATGCACAAAGTTCTTTAAGCTTAAAGCTTATAATGTAACGCTCGATCTTCTTTGTTGTTGCATTTAGAGCTTATGTATAGTTAATGTAACTAGTACTACTGTAAGTGAAGTTCTTGGAGGCATGGATTTTTTGATTAATTTTAAGAGGGAATATCAATATTCGTTCGTTTAGAGCTAGAAATCGCTTTCACGGTGATTTTTTTGTTAGTGAAACGTTACGTTCTCAAAAAGTACTTTAAACTGTATAAATAAGTTCCCGGACAATTGATTTACATTAGCCAATCAGACGAAAGTCCTCCTATGAAGTATCACCCGATGAAAGAACAGGGGTGAACGTCCCAAATATGGAAAATGGTTACACGAATGTTGAGTGATTGTCACATGCTAGCCAGCCAATA